TAATTGCAGGGTTGGGATTTTTTTTACAGTGGGTAGGTGTGCAAAGGAACATTTCGGCTCGATCTCTACCCAGACCTGTTTGTTGGTACCACACTCAAACCAGACTATCACAGCAATTCAAAGACTTAAGCTTATGAATTTTCATCATTATAGTTTTAGGCAACATCTTTGTGCAGATTCACATTGCTTTCAGTGAGTTTCTTTAAATAGGTTTAATATTATTAAATTATTATAGTAACAAGCCCTTTATGGTTCAGTGCGGTGAAATGCCTATGAATCATCAAAGGAAACAATGTAGGAAACAATACTATGATGAAGAACATTATATTGGATTTACTTCTGCCCTAGAAAACATATTGTTATCCTGCACATAACAAGTTATTGCAGAACACTCGTATCAAGGTCTTAAAGAGACAAGATAGGTAGATAGATTGCAACAATTATTAAAATGGAAATGAACATTTACTCAGTAATAAACTTGAACCTTGATAAGGAGTGAACAGGGTGAAGCTTTTCTTTTGTCAGTTTGGCCTCACGTACTTACATCACAGTTCAATTTGGCCCAATTTGCATTTAAATTCCGTACATCTAATAACCGTATATATTTACTAGCTAGCAAAGATTTACTGCTGTATCTTACAATTCTGAAGGAGGAAATAAAAATATGTATAAAAAAAGGAATTGGCAAGCACTGTTTTCACCTAGCACCGACGGTACAAGAGAATTTTATGCTCTGATCTCAACAGATTTAAGACCTTATCAAAATAGGATTTGCAGAATCACTCACTGGAAGTGGATGTATTTATACTTCCACTATATCAAACCTCGCTACTTCAGAACAGACATCAAGGATATGCATATGAATTTCAACACACTTAAAGGGAAATGTTAACCTTTCAGGGCTGTATTTTTAATTCCTCAACTGTCTGGTTATTAATGGGAACATGCATTTCAAGTCTCTGTTTACAACACGTGCAGCAGTCACAAGTGTTAAGAAGTGCACTCTTTATCTAATTGTTCATTATTTTATAGCCCTGTTGCTCCAGTTCTCCCTCACTTGCAGAAGCTCTGGTTGGCTTGAAGTGCAGGGAAGGAAACAACTCGCCTTGTTCCTTTCTTTTTTTTTGCCAAGCAGGGAAATACTTGATACAACATGATTTTGCCCCAAGCTCCAGCCAGCCCGTTGTTTCAACTAACAAAACGTCTTGAGTTTTGGAAAATCCTCCTGGATGCTCCCCTGCTCCCCAGACAGGGCAAACTGAAAATAGACCCTCATTTTCTACCATGATGATAGTGATGCACAGAAAAAAAGAAGAAAGAGGCATTTTGGGAGACTTTGCCCAAAATCAGTGAAATCAAGCAGCAACTGCTTTGGAAAAAAAACTTCCAGAGACAAAAGACAACTCCAATGGTTTCAATAAGCAGCAAGCAATATCATATGCGCATTTAATTAGTGGCAGCTAGCTTATGCTGGCAAGTATATGGACACTAAATCGCACGGTTAAAAGAGCATAAAGCATTTCATTTAAGTGATAGGGTTGCAGGTAATTGAACAAAGTGTACTGTGTCAATTTGTATTTAGGTTAACAAGGAGTGAGCAATTAAAATGACTGCCAATTTGTCTTTAAATAGAAAGTAACATAAAATGAGATGATCTCTTCCTGCATATGCAGTCGACGCAAGACCATCAGTGGCTCTGTGTCAAGCAGCCTGTGCCAATTTGCACTAGCAAGGAGGCTTATTTTGGATTCAGATATACATCTGAGGGGAAAAACACACTATGACCCCTTTGCCTCAGTTAAAAGGGCTTGCGAGACATACAAAGTCCCTGAAAGCTGCCATTTAAAGAAGACAGCCAGGATGGTATTTCCTAAGGACCCTCTTGCACATTCTTGTACATTAAGTGGGTGCTAGCATGTGGATGACTTCAGAAAAGAGACATGTCCACCCAAAATACGGTTCTTGGATCCATGGGATCTCCTTTATATGAGGTGCTCTGCATCTTGAAAGACTGACCTCAAACTGCTGTGCAAGGTGAAACCCAACTTGGCAGGTCCCAGAGAACCTGCAGAACCACCGTGCAGCTGAACATCTTCATTTCATAGCAAATAAACACACAGCCCGATTTGGGAGGAACTGCATGTCCTCAGCATCTATTCAGAGGAGATTCATAACAGCTTTGATATACAGTCTAAGGATGTTCCTGCTATCAATCAGGGAATCACCTCAACTGGCTTCAGATGTTCAAGTTAGACAATCAGGTCTGTAGTCCTTGCTTTCAACTGCCCCGAGTGGAAAAAACAGGCTTATGAAGATGTCATTTCATCTGACCTATGTTAGACATGTGTTAGGCATCCCTTTTTCTCCATCGATGATAAAGAGAAAGCAATAGCTCACGCTGAACTGTCTTTTTGATGCCTACACTATGGCAGGTGAATTTAATCCCTGATGTGTAAAAAGCCAACATACTGCCCACAGACTCTCTTTCCTAAGAAGGTCCATACTAGGTCTTTTCACACAACAAACGTCTTTCTAGTCCAACTCCTATTTACTACAGAAGTCACTTGGAAGGAAGGAAGCAGGCACAGATGTGTCCCTGGCACATTCTCCTGGCCTGGGGAATTACATCCTTTGACAGTTCTTGGTTTAGTAGCTTCATCCCTGAATTTCTTTAGAGCTCTCTGCTGCCAGCATCTCATCCTGACAACTCACTACTGCTTGCCTGCCTGCTTGCTCCCAGATTTCTTTTACAGACTCTTTAATTTGAAACAGATGCCCTAGGACCAGCCACTTGGCTTCTTCCCTCTTTTTCCTCTGGGTTCATGCAATATCATAACTGTCTCATACATTCTTTTCATCCATTGTGTTTTATGAACATGTTGATGTTAGGTAGACATTAAATGGCTGATATAGTCCACTACGTCAGAAGTGGAACAACCAAGCATTCCTGTCCCCAGAAACGCATCAGATTCCCATTTCTGACTGACTAGTCCCCAGAGCGCAAAGCCCAACAACTGGGTAGACCAGAAGGAGGGATCAAAGACAGACCCTCGGGTGCAGTGTTCAGAAGAAGACTTGTGAGAAAATGGAAGGGTTCAGACCCAAAGGGTCTTTTCTCAGCAAACTCCTATGAGACACAACTTTAGGAGATGTAATGACCACTCATTTAAATCAATGGAAGTCAGGAAGAAGACCTGGGGCATTGAATTCATTAATAACAATGTTCACTAAAAAGTGAACGACCAGAGAAATGCCAAGGAGATGATACAGATATCAGATGAAGACAGACAAGAACAAGAGAAAGAATTTTAATTCTTTAAAAGCAGTTAAATCAAGGAGAGGGGAGAAGAAACATAAGCAACTTCAGCAAAGAGAGAGTCCAATAACAAGTCTAGAGACAACTGAAAAAATGAAAAGAAAAAAAAAGGCAGGGGAGGGAATTCATAGAAAAGGAAGCACAACTGGATAAAAGGAGGAAAGAGTAGAAAGAGAATGGAATAAACAAAGAGGAAGCACAAATCTTGTTCGGGCCATTTCTGTATTGATTCACTAAACCTATACAGGCCAAGAGGGTTCAAAGCCAGTCAATGAAAAACTGTTTCTCTGCAACACAAATACTCTGTGAAATAACAGAGTGAGTGATATTCATGCTCTCCAGCATTCACATCTAATTTAGAAGTGATGGGGAACATTGATTCCTACCTATCAGTGAAGAAAAACACGCTTCCCAAAAAGCATTCAAGGCCCCAAGTTAGACCCAAGACCCAGACAGACTTGTGAACATGACAATTGCATGTATTGGGGTAACTGCTCTGTGTCAGGTGTGATGGAGAGAAGTCACAACAGAAATACCTACCCAAAGGAGGGCTACCTTTCTCCTATCATTTGACACCCATGGGAAAACTTCACCCACAGCAGGAGGAAAATGAGGCATGGACCTGGACAAGCTGTTCACCTACACAGGAAAAGGTGGAATAGGTCTGCTGGGCCAAAACCTGTGCATTAACCAAGAAAGCACCTCACCTCTGAAGGGAAATGGTAGTCCTGGGGCATCCAGCTTGGAGATGTAAACAGCTAGCAAATGGGGGCCAGGCTCCACAGGACTTGGCAAACAGCTTCGCAGCCTCAAGTACAAGTCAGAACTTTATGAAAAAAAAACAGATGCCGCACACTTTCTGCCCCAAAGACGATCATGCATGCACTAGCCTAAGCTGTCACGTTTACCAAGATCCCTAACTCCAAGAGAAGTCAAATCAACCAACTTGACTCAATTGACTCAGCCAAATCAGAGCCAAACACCCTGAGTAGAGTGAAACCCAATAGCCTAGAAACTTTCACAAAGTTTTGACCAATATTATTGATGCAATGGAAATAATTCGCCCTCCCAGTCTTCCCCTGCTGTAATGGGGTATAGCCTGGATGGAAACACATCTCCAAAGCCAGTCCCATTCAACCTGCCAGTGAATGCCTCTGCAAGCATTTCTCCAGGAGGCTGCAAGCAGCCCTGAGCCTCTGCTGTGTGCTGTGGTCCCTAGACCTCATCTTGCCTGCTAAGCCTTAGTAATCCTTAGTTTTCCCCTACACTCAGCCTTGCACTCCTCCTTGCCCTGCTGGTTTGATCCTGCTCCTTCTGCCAAACCCAGTCCCACTGCCTGGAGTCTGATTCCAGCTGACCCCTAAACTCTGCTCTTGCCCAGCCTCCTGGCCCAACCTGCTTGCGCCTGACTCTTCTGCCTGGCTCCTGTCACTTCAATTTCTCCTGCCCCTGGGTGTGTGACTTCCAGTTTCTGACCTCAGACTGGCTTAACTGCAGCCCCCTATCTCTTTCCTTCCAAGCTGGTTTGAACATTAAACTCAACTCTAGAGAGTTTCTTCTCCAAGCTGCAATCTCCTGATGTTGAATCTGGTCTGACAGACTTGCAAAGACTTCACTCCCTTGGAGAAAATGCAGATAAAATTTGTGGTCTTTTAAATCTGTAAGATCTCATCTACCCTTACTTAAAGGAGTATTTTCTTAGCTTCTAGCAATAGACATCCCGTAACTCCTGAATGGGCATGTTGAAATGAACAGGCAGACAAACCCAGCACTCTCACTGCACTTTGTGATTGGTTACACACAGGCAGGTCTCACTTGGCAGCTGCACAGCGATGTTACAGCAGAATATGAAAAATCTGTGTTAGAAGGACCATGAGGGTCCCAAAGCACTTCCTTCAACCCTGGGCAATTTCATGGACATCTACTGCTACCCAATCGAAATGTGTGTGGCCAGGGAAACACAAATGGGTAAGAGGTCTTTGGGTAAGGGGAAAGCAAATGGAGCCTAGTATATGCTGAGAGGTGTCACCTAGGACTTGATCTGGACAGGCGAAGAATGGCTCTCAGTGAGGCCTCCACCAGGATGCCCACATTATGGCCAAGAAGACCAGGCCACTGAAACACAACTGAAAAGGGCTGGGCAAGCAAGCACATCCTTGGACTATCTCCATCAGCTCTGCTTCTTGGTGGAAAATGGCACAAAACTGCTTTTATTGGACACTGCTTCCTTCCAGGAGTGAGCTAAGCTGAACTGAATTTATTAAATATATTTAATACAGTTTACCTGACCCATTTTGAACCTAAGTTAGGTGACTCTCACATGCCATCCGTGTTACAGCTAGAAACTACTGGCAAAGCAATGTGAATGCTGGAGAAGAAATGGATTGCACAAGTATCTCAAAACATCAGTAAACGTCAGAAAGGGAGATAGTATTTTTAGGAGGCTCTTTACCTGCAGGTGGGTCCATTCTGTATTTATTCTCTTGACACCAACCGACTGGTCGAAGTCTGCAATCCAAGTAAAACAACCACTGGTCATAGGATTCAGTCTCCTCCAATCCCACATAGCGAAGGCGTAATCTTCCTCCAACATTTTCAACCACACTAACTATCCAGTACTGAAAGGGATTCTGGGAATCCTGCAGCTCTATTAAGGAATCAACTGTAATGAGGTCTACAGGGTTTTTTCCTCGCAGAGGCTGTTTGAATAGAAGCAAAACTCCTTATTTTAAACTTTATTTGAAGACTTCTCAAGGAAACAGATGACAGCAGAAGATTATTTTTGTTTTTCACACCATCATCCAAGCGATCAGCAAACAGTCTGTTCTACTTCTATTTTACCCAATGTCTTCCAAGTGCAAATTCAGAAGTAAAACAGAAAACAACAGTTGTGCTAATTTCTCAACCGACATCATCAACAACAACAAAAAAGAATAACAAAAGGTGGAACAGCTCATAAGGCACATCCACTTAAGATGCTCCTGAACAACTCAAAGCCCAGTTATACTGGAGGATTTCAAACCAAATTCTCATTGATTGCAGCTGATAAGAACCAATCATAGGACTGGACAATGGCATTTAGGCATTTTACCTAAAAGGCAACTACTTCGGGCATGACCCTGAAATTGCCCTCTGTGCACTGATCTTTCCCACCAAAGGCTTTATATTATTCCTACTGGCACGTAGAGCAAATTATTCCCTACTGCCATGGATGCAAGAGTCTGTGGTGGTTACTCCAAAGCCCAAAGCCAATGGCAAGTTCCCACCAGCTTAAGTGGCCTTGGGATCAAAGCCCAAGGCACACAGGATTTGCTGGATCAAGTCACCACCCTCAAGAAACTCCAGTAAATGAGTTTATTGCTTACATACAGTATTTTCTGTGATCCCAGTTTTGCAACCATTTACACATGTGCTTAACTTTACACCTGCAAAGCTGCCAACCACAGGCATTAAAAAACCATGAGATGCTTTGCAGAATGATACCTTTGGGGCTCAGTGAACATCTCAGTGAATTGTTTTGTGAACATCTCTGTGTTGTCAAGCTTTTCTCCACTAACGTAACAGTTAGATATCTTCTTTTAAAAAAAAAAAAAAAAAAAAAAAAACAAATAGAATCTTCTTTTAAAAAAAAAAAAAAAAAAAAAAAAATGCAAGTTCCGATTCTTATGCAATTTCTCGATTCCAGGGCTTTAAGAGCAGCACTAAAAAACAACCCAAGAGTTGGGAGCATTGGTTCCCAAACGAGATGCTAAGCACAGGCAAAATATATTAAAAACAAGGAGTTCTTTTTTCCTGTGTGTTTGCCCCACTTCTACTTAATTAAACAATATAAACCTTTCACAGTATTTTTTTAAAATATTAATTCTGTAAATCAGAGTAAGTCCAGGATGGTTCTTTCTAGGGGTGGATAGGAAAAAAAAGAGAGAAGAAATCCTTATTTTTCAAAAAAGTTCTCTTTCACACTGAATTTTGAAAGTACTCAAAATTTTGAGATGCAGCTGATTTTGACTACATCTCTCAAGCCAAAAATGCAGGCAACAGAATGAGAATTTGGTAAAAAATTGAATTAAAATTATCTATAATCATATCACATGTACAGTTTTAACCAGCTCTATGATTAATAGATATTTCTCAGAACAATATATTTGCCCTGATAAACCACTCTTCTATTGTATAAACTACAAGCACCTGTATAATCTCTTCAAATATTATTTCATGGCAAAATGCAGTGTCAGAAGTTAATAATATAATAGAAATCTACTGTAATGGAGTTTTTTCCTCTCATACAACTGCTTTGTTGCAACAAAACATTCTTTAATATGAAACAATGGTGTAATGATTTAACTTATTATAATAAATGCCTGGCTGTTTAAAAGCGAATATTGCTTCTCTGATTTGTGTGCTGAATTTTAAGCCAATGGGTTGTCACTTACCCCTGAGAACTGAATGGCTAAGATTAATAATTGGCTTGCATGAAATATTAACATTTACCATAACGCAAGAACTCTTTATATGCATAGCTAGCATGTTAAAAAAAAAAAAAGTATCACTACATATTGATTTAACAGTATAACAACAATCTGCAGCACTCACGAACAGCAAATCTGTCGACAGGGGGTTACATACATTGCACGACACAGACAGCACTAAGCACATATATTACATAAAACACCAGAAAAGGGTCAGAAACTGTTTCAAGCCAACACAATGTTTTCTCTCTGCATTTCTGCCTGGGGCTGCCTTTTTTCTCTACCTGCGGGAAGGGAATGGAGAGGTTTGCAACGGCATTGGCGTACACCAGAGATGGGTGTTGGACACCACCAGCTTTTTGCATGTACCGACGAGGAGTGGTCCAGAACAGGGACGCAGCAGACCTGAGGACGTGCATTATTTTAGGCATACAAGGGCTGTTTGGCTAACAGATTGAGGGGCAAAAAATCCCTAATGGTACACTATTAATTCTCCCTCCAGATAGCTCGTACTGCACAGGCATGTGGAAAAAAGATACAGTTGTGGCTGGTGGGAGTGACCAGGGACAAAATGACCAAAAATGGTGTCTGGACACACACTTGCTTACAAAAAGCCAATACGAGCACTTACACAAAGGTAAACTGCCTGTATGCCTTCACTCGCAGCCTAAATACAGAGGGGAAGAGAGAATTATCTCCTATAGGATGGGCTGTCTCCTCTCCAAACACCTGCACGGCATCCACAGCAGAGCAGGGCAGGTCCCAATGGAGAAGGTGCCCTGCTCCCAGAGTTTCAAGGTGAATCTGCAGGATTTTTGTCCAAGATCTCAAGGCAAGCTGAGGGTGCCCCAGATGCAAGCTACCCTGTGGATATGCTGCACCAACTGGGCTCTTGGCCATATGCATGCATCTAAAAAAAAAACCAACCCCTTCTTCTCTCCTGACTACCAACAACTGGGGCCACGTCACTGAACTTCCCTGCTAAATTTGACTGCTGTGTTTAGGTGGAAGGAATGCCCTTGGCGGAGCTACCTCCATATACACATAAACCTGATAGTGCTCCCCATCAACCTACTAAACCCCCTCTCCAACCTGTGTGCTCACCTGAAAGCTCAGGTCACCAGTTTGATGGATCTAACGGGGCACTGAAGGCCTGTGTCCTTCCTACAGACTCCTTCCATGGTCTCCTTCACCACCCAGCCTTTTTCTGAGTACCCAACTTTCTAAGCACTACCCTCCAGCCTCAAGGAAAAACAAACTACCCATCACCAGGTCAGATGCAGAGCCAGCAGAGTCAAGGCAACGTTGCCACCAACTTTTGGCCAGCGCTGGATCAGACCCTGCTGCCAGTACAAAGACGTTGCAAGCAGACAGCCCTACATGTTAGGAGTGCAACCACTGCTGCAGCATGCACACCGCGACACCACATCAGATAGGAAGTGCAATCTAATACATACGCCTTCCAGTAAATTTGCAGGTGCAGTCCGGGCGCCGGTCAAATCATGTATGAGAAACTCCGTCCAGTCCATGTATTTCTCTTTGATTGCTGGGGAGGGGGAGCAAAGAAAAGAAATACTTAGCACAGCAGACTGCAATGGACTTGCCACATGTATTTTAGAGACACCTCCGCGGGCTTTACCAGCTCTAAGTGTCATATACAATTGCAATACAGACCAGGAGAAAATCCGGTTCGTTGTCCAGTTCCTTGAGCAACCTCTGCACACAGACTTCCCAAAATAAGGGAAGGTGGTGTTCCACTGTAGTCGGTGACAGTGATTTACCACCACGTAGCTTATCATCTCCATCCCTCCCATTCAAAACTGGCCACCACTTGTGTAACCGCTTGTTTCCTGCTTACCATGTAGGCTTATAAAGTCCCTTTGTATGTTCACTAACGACCTCAGAGAAAAATAAGCTGTGCAAACTTTCAGTTCCTCAACAGGACAACAGAAACTCCAGGTGCTTGCCCCCACAAAGCACAAAAATCAACCCTGAGGACATCGTATGTCACCTACCTAGTCAATACACTTGTAAAAATTTATCAAGAACATCTATTTAATTAAAAAAAAAAAAAGTTTGAATAATTGCTGAGATAAACACTGTTAGCATGTGCTACTTTAGGGATCTGTATCCACACAGTTGCTAAGATTTGAACGGAAACGTATAAATGTTGCCCCTGGGATTCAAATTCTGGTTCAATTCTTGTTGAAATCACTAAAGGTTGGGCACCAAAAAGCAATTCAGCAAATCTCAGCTTCAGAGATTCAGATGCCTCTTCGAGCACATTGTGCATTTCCCATCAGAAACTCAGGAACCAGACTTTAATTCTACCTGCCTGTAAATGGGAATTAAATTACATCAGAAACATTTTTCTCTCCCCAAAAATCTTACTTATATGTTAGACTACCAACAATATTATAGTTATGTTGCTAACACAGCAACACCTATAGACGGGAAAAATCTCAAGTATTTGTAAATTGCAACATTTCCTCTGAATAAACAACTGCATACATGGTTTGAAGATCATTACCCCACGGGGGAGGCCAGGAAGGGCTGTAATTAACCAGTGTAGGTCCAAAATAATTAAATGATAGCAGCCCTCAAGTTTTGCTCAAAGGAAACGGAGTCCTTTGCTCCACATTTTAGGGAAATACCACATTACCCAAACAAGAACAATTCAGTCTTAAGCACTTTGTGCTTTCACACAAATCAGGGTGGGATTTCTAAATGTTTTTAAAGCTCAGTGACAGTGACTTCTCAGCCCTTCCCAGAGATGGGTGTCAGCTACTGCCATGCCTTGACAATGCAGAACCTGAGCTGTGGAACCTCTGAGAAGGTGCAATCTCAGTAGGTAGAGCAGGACTTCAGACTGAAAACGCAAGCAGCAATGTCAGCAGAAATATTGCCACCATTACCTCCAGACAAGGAGACCAAACCTGAGCCCTCTCAAAACACATCCTCAAGCCATGTGCTGCCAAACACTGCTTTAAAGAAACGCAAAGAGGGAGCAGTGGGTTTGCCCAAGGACAGTTATATGGCATTGCCACAAAACGTGCTCGTGGCTGGGCTTGCTTCCCGCGTGGCTGCTTGGCACACTTGGACTCTGGCCCATACTCAGTTTATACAAACCTTATGTAATCCATACAGCTGGCCACAGACAAAGACAGAAGCCATGCCCAGCAGACTGTACATCAGACCTCATTTCTGAGTTGTGCTCCTTCCCCAAAAGCCAGTTCTCTCAGTGTCACTTGAACTATAAATTCAGTTTATAGATCTAAATTGCTTTGAAAGTGCATTTAAATGTATTTTAAATTAGCAAACTTTAAAGTGCTGGACATGAGCCTCTATAAAATAAAACCTAAGCTAGCCTGGAAATGCTGTAAGTCTTTTGCAGCACTAATTCTACATGATTTCCAGATTTATGACCTTTACATTATTTAAGATGAAGGAATAGCCTGAGAAGAAATGGTTTATACATGGCACTTTCTTTCTCAACGTTCCTGTTGTGTACACCTCAACAGGTCCTGTCCATCTACATCAGGATAAAGAAAACAAGCTTAATTTTGTCATCAGCGAGAAGACAGTAATTGCCATAATGAACGGGACTGGAGTCCCTCTAGTTCAGACTTCTGCCTCTCGCTGCGAACAGCACTGGGTGCATCAGAGAAAGGTGCAAGTTGAACTTCAGTTTGGCTCATACCCACAAAGTTGTCAGCCAGATTTTGAATGCCAGAGCTTCACTACTAAGGAGTGACAAATGTGATAAAAAGAACACTGTTCGAACTTTCAAAGCTGGCAGGAGAGGAGGGGGGGAAATACGATTTTCAAAGTTGACAACAGATTTCAGGGGCTTCCATTTCCAGATGCCCGATTTGACATGTCTTAACAGTGCCCAATTTACAGATCTTGCTGTCTGTCAGTCAGTCCCCCTTCTAATGCCTCTAAAAAAAAAAAATCCCTTGTCCTTTTCAAAAGACTTGCACCTCACAGCTTTTTGACACCTAAATAAGATGGGGCCCCTCTCCACATTCAAATCTGGATTATGGGCTTCCAAAATCCAAAAGTGCCAAGGTGACCTTTGTTTTCAGACTAAACAGACTCAGTTGAAAAAACATGCTACTCCCAGTTTCTGTGATAGTTTCAGAGCTATCCTCCCCCAACAAATCTAATATCTGGCTTTATTTTATTCTTCTTTTGTGGTATAGATGAAGGTACTCTGGAAACTTCTGGGAGTTAACAGATTGCACTGGAAGTTTTAGGAACAGGAATTTGCACTTTTTTCTGTGCCTGTAGAGCACAACCAGGCTCCTCAGTATTATGGTTCAAATCATTACAATGCAAATATTAATTTTTTGTAGTAACGAAGTGAATCTGAATCATCGCAATATCTGCAAAAGCCTCTGAGGACCAAGCAAAATGTAAAACAAGAATAATCAAACAAAGGAAAATCCGCTGGGTAAATGAGAATAGCTGGCAGTGTAATGCATGGGTGCCCAACCTGAGCATCCATCCCAGGAAATGCTGGTGCTTCTCTGGTATATCAGACTCAGCACCTGTGAATTGAAGCACTGATTTTCAACCACTAATTCACATGTTTGCTTGTTAGCTACAGGAAAAAACCCAACCAAACCTCTCCTACTGCAGACAGGTTGGAAGAACTCTGCTTTTAGAGCCCATCTGCACCTGGCTGCCCAACTGGTGGGATGGGAAGGTGGACAGGACAAAGGATCCTGTTCCACAGGAACCTAAGCTCCACTAGTGTTGCTACTTTCAAAAAAATTTTTCCTTCCTTAAATAACTTCAGTGAGTCAGGAGTGGTCCATGGGGCTCAGATATCCATATTTTCTCTCCCTTTCAATGGATCCATCTTCCTGTAAGACCTCTGTGAACTTCCCCCACCCAGAACCTGTCAAGCTGAATGCACCTCCAGGATCTTGTCTAACATCTGTGGTGCCGTGGGAGGCAGGGGACAGACACAAGAAATAAACTTCCTCATCAAAACCTTTTAAAGGGAACCATTTCTTGCAGGGAGGTAGGTCCTTCTGCAAAAGACAAAAGTCACAGAGAACAAAATGCGTCCTTCATTCTTCAAATGGAAATACTGTAACAAGCCCCCTCCAACCACAAAGTGTGATGGGCACAAGCAGTAATCTACAAGCACATGATTAATCTCACCCTAATTCATGCCACCCTAGCTCTTACTGAGCTGCACAGATTCAAAAGGCGGTAAGAAATCTTCATAGTAAGAAAGTCCCTGGTACTTCTGCCTGGATGGCATAGGAAGAAACATCCCTAATTCTTCACAATCCAGGGAGCTGACAAAACTGGAAGACTTTTACCAATGCATAAAGTCCTCTCCAAACAAGGATAACTACTGACAGCAACCTGTCCCTTTGCACACCAACCCTTCCCTCACCAGGTAAAGCTCATCTGTGAAGATGGTACTGTCAAAAGGGACTATCACCTACACAATGGGGCTCCAAACAGGCCCAATGACCAGAAAGCTTTTGAGATATTCCAGTTATATTGGGGCTACTTTGGAAATTATACCCTAAGCAGTGATGGCTTGCTTGACTAGAACAGTAACATAATCCCACTGATTGGTCCTCTAGAGCATGAGGCTTTGATGCTCTGCAACGTCACAGCTTGATCAAGAGTCCCAATATTGCTATGAGCAACACACCCATCTTAGCACCAGTCCTGTGGTCCTGCATGGTCTCTGCTGTGCAGAGAAGTGACCAACAGGACACTCTGCAATGGTCTGAGACCCTGGGGGTAAACTGACATCCAATTTATTACAGTGAGAGGAAATGATTCAAGAGAAGCAGAGACATGGTAGCAGAAAAAAAGACTAGGTTTAGTGATCCCACCGATGCAAAGGGCACAGTGTGAGCTGAACTGAATGATTAAACACTAAATAATCCAGAGAGGAGACAGGCATTAGCAACGCTCTCACCATGGAAAAAGCATCGGTCAGAGCTTGCACCATATTAGACACAGTACAACCCAAACACAAGGCATACATCACGCAAACTGATGCTCCCAAAACGCCAATGCTCTTGTAACTGCTTTTCTTTCCAGGTTTAGCAGGCAACACCACAGCTCCTTTTGGAGTTGCAGCTTGTGTACGCAGATGTGCCTGTTTCCTTTGGATTGGGTTCAGTTCATCTTGGAGCTGGCGTGGGTGGTTGTTTTCACACCTCTGCAGCTCCAAGGCCAAAGGCTTTGAAGCATCTTCCTGCCATAAAAATGCCACAGAATCACCTGCCTTAGAGCAAAGCAGCCCAAAGCAGAGGCCAGATCTGCACGTTGTTGGGCCAAGGTGTGTCCATCGTAGAGCCAACTGCTCTGCTCCAGACTGCATTCATGCAGGACTAAATGCACAGAGAGGAAAAATCATTTGGATCTAGATCACCACAGAAAGACCTGAGAAAAATCCCACATTGCTCTCCCCAGTTCCTGAGGAGCAGTTGTTGTGGTGCACCAACTCCCAGACTCAGCACCGGGCTGGGCTGGTTGAGGCTGAGCCAAGGCTTTGCCTCCTCC